AAATTTTTAAAAAATTGCAGCAATACGAACCAAACAACTTTTTGGCCCGACTCTGGTGGTTTCCTATCTTTAAATATTTTGAGAAAAACGTGGGCGGCACGGTGCCACGACAATACGACTGGCCTTTACCCTGGCCTCGACGATTCCTTGCCAAGCACCCTAATCGGGACAGTTAATGTCTGTCTCTGATTTCATGATAGAGGCTGTCAAACAACGGAGTTACTTTGTTGTAATTTATGTATATATATATATAAATATATATGTATACGTACCTAGGCATATAAAAATGTGAAGATAAAGCTTTACTAGAAAGTGGTGCGAGAGATCTGTGTGCAAGTTTTCGTCATTATTGATGAGTAAATTCAATTTCGAGATGTAAACTTGCGGTGTTCACTTCTTTAAGAAAGAAAGGAAAAGAAAAGAAAAGAAAAAGACAAATATAACAACTATGATGAAAACTATGATAAAAAACATGAACGATAGTGAAAACAAATGCTTGTACCGTCATGTTCGTTATCGTCCAATCGCGAAACCTATTTTTTTCTTGATTTTGATACGACTTATACATACAATGTAAGAGGCTAGATAAATGATAGATCGAGATATTTAGTCTCACGATGAATTCATGTAGAGATGGAGGTATTCGAAAGTTACCAACAAAGTAGTGTATAAAATAAAATGCTAGATATCTCTATTTTCAGATACTCCAAATGTGAAATACTTAGATGTAAAAAAAGAAAAAAAAAAAAAAAAGAAAAAAAAAAAAAAAAAGAAAAAAAAAAAAAGAAAGGAATTATGCTACCGTACCGTAATTCGGTTAAGTGTAGTAATGCAAAAACTGTCTTGTTGAACGTAGCATTAACAAGCAAGAGGCGAATTTTTTTGTAATCTTTTTCATTTGAACAACGATACGTATTGGAAAATTAAAAAATGAAAAAAAGAAAAAGAAAAAAAAAAGAAAAAGGGTGTTGCTTCGATAAAAATAAGGTAAAAAATAAAAAAAATAGTGAATTTTTGATTGCCGCGAGACTTTCCTCTGATTAATCTATTCGAAATACGTTCTAATCTTTCAACTTCCAAATAACCAAAACGATGTTCTTTATATTTACTACACGGCGGTATGCCTTATTCCGATGAAAGTCAATCGAATCGCAATTTTCGAATTGTTAAATCGGTCAATTATTGTTCGTTTTCTACTTTATAATTTTTCATGTCAATTTTCCCTCGAAATTGGAGCCTTTTTTTTAAATGAATATTTTTTATCGCAGAAGCAGTTAGTGAAAGATTGGCATAGTTTTAAAATTCAACCGATGATCGTGCAATTTCGTGGGACCAAATACAAAGAGTAGTCGGAAAATGTACTACTTTTCGAGTAGCGATCGTGAGTAATTTTTTTCGTGATGACAATAGAATACTCGTATAGCCATATATTAAAAAGCTCTCAAATGTTCAGGTTTTTGCTCTATTTTTTAGATCATGATTTTAAGCGTCTTTATTGGCGCTTTGGCATCGCAATGTGTTCTCTTCGATTGATGAAATTTATCTGCGATCACACGATTGAGAAACCAAGTGTATTACGTGTGCATGTTAATGAAATTCGTAATTCCTCGGAATAAGGTCGTCTTTATAATCTACACATACCAGATGTTGTCACGTACGCGTGAATGATATTAAATCATTTAAAAAAAAAAACTCGTGTTGATGCTAATAAAACCTCAGAAGAAATCTTATAAAATAAAATCTTTCAAAGAATGTTCTCTAATAGTTCATTTTTTGCACGATTTTATTTTGTTCTTCTATCATCTTGTAAATTCGTATTAGTAATTCCTTATATGATTGTTGCTCCGATCTAATCGTCAGAGCAATTTTTAATTTCATTATAATATTTCTTCAAGGTAAATAGCACAAAATCATAGAATCTCTATAATGAAAAGATGTAAAGGAAAAATGTTTTATATAAATTCTCAATTATTCAAAAGAGATTGAGAAATAATTGAAAGATAAAAGAAAAAAAAATTGGAAATTATTTTTTGTTGCGATAGAAAGCGTTAAGCTTACAAAGTCTGTGAATAGTTTAAGTAACATTGCCGGCGATTTGTTGTCTTATGCACATACGATTTATTGTTAATACTCCTCGTGTATAATCCTCGTTATTCGTTATACGAGATGTCTACATTCAAATAATGCATGTTCGTTTTGGAGTGGATGCAAATATAAATACGGTCGATGATCCTATTTTAAATATCTTTTTTTTTTCGACATGCGCGCGGTCGAACGAATTTGACGACGCAAGAAGAAAAAAAAGAGACATTCGCGACCAAGCGAAGAAAGAATGGTCGCAGTGGGATAAATTGAATGAAATTTGTTGGCTCTTATTACTACGTGTAATTAAGTCTCTTTCCGTCTGTGATGATAATGAAAAAAAAAAAAAAAAAAAAAA